AAAAACATAAAAAAAGGAGGCGCCCAAGAGCAGAGCGTCTTCGGTCGCCGTCCCCCGTGCAACTCCCCGCAAGTTGCGTCCACCCTCTCAGCCTGCCGGCTCCTGCGGCGCCCACATCGCTAAGCCCCTCCCCGGGACGCGACGCCGGGCTCGCCCGCAACACGCAGCGCCTTGCACGCCGTCCCGTTGGCGGCCGCAGCCCCGCGCGAGCCCCTCCCTATTTTTTCTGCCGCGCCCGCAGAAGGCCCTCCTCCCCCAGCGTGAGTGCGTGTGTGGGTCCGGGGCACGCGGCTTCTGGAGCTTTTCAGGAAGGCGAGCGGCACGCCGTAACCGCGAGAGACCCTCGCTGGGGCCCAGAACCCCACACGCAAACGTGTCCCAATTCGAAGAGCAAAGAGGCGACACACATTTGTGTAGTGCACGGCCTCCGCACCGTGTGCGCCACACTCCCGCTCAATCTTCTCAGCCCTCCGAGACGGATTCCCCGCACCCCACAGTTTCTCGCCTTCCCGAGCACAGTCGTCTTCAGCAACCGGGGCGTCAGTCGCCTGCAGGGCGCCGTCAACCGCCGCAGTGCGCCCATCGAACGCAGCCGCACTGAAGGTGTCACGCGGCAGCGGTCCGACAAGCTGCATGCGACCCGCGACTGCCTCCCACTACTTCTCTTGCCCCTGCGCGGGATGATTGCGCGCGTCCGCCGGGCACACGTCGCCGTCACCTCCTCCTCGTCGCGGCAGCGCATCGTGGGGCGAGGCGGAGATGCAGTCGCATCGCCAGTGCTCTCGAGCTAATTCCCTTTGCGGACGCCAACACGCAATCATGCCCCACCCACAAGGCCGTAAGTTTACCCACGGCAGCGGTGCTCCTTCCTCTGGCGCATCGTAGACAACTCACACCCTCTTGCCCGCCACGACAAATCACTCACACGCCCTCGGACCTCGAGCTCGCCCTCGTGCCCTGTCGCCGTTTGCGTGGCCGTGTCGGACGCGTCCGCCAACTCGCCTCCGAGGCAGCAGAGAGCAAAGTGGAGCGGGCACTCATCGCGGTGCAGCGGCCGGTGGAGGGGGTGGGGGCCGGCACTCGTCCACCACCGAGGCCGCCATCCCCGGGCGCCCCAAACACGACACGCCGCCTCACCTCAAACAATTCTGGTCCTTTGGGCGAAGCGCCCCGTCCCAACCGCCCTTGACAATCCGCCACACCCGCCCCACCGCAGAGTGAACGCAGCAGCCGGCAATGTTCCCTCCCTCCCTCAGCGGGCACGGCCAGCCCTCCGCAGCGGCGAGACCCGTCACGCTGGGACGCGGCGCACGAAGCTGCGCAACGCTGTCCTGCAGTGGAGGAGTTGTCCCCTGCGCCCTGCACGCCCCCGACTGCGTTGGGGTGTGTGTGGCCCCGTTCCACCGCCGTCCGCACCGCCACTTCCCCCCCTCCCTTCAGCCGCAGGGAACCCCAAGACGTGGCTCCACTTCGCGTTGAGCACAAACTCGCACACTCCCTCTGCCTTGCGTTCAACGGCTCACCGTGGCCGCGGCGGTGCCTCCTCCGCCCTTCCGCGCTGCGCTGCGGGTTGCCGAGCCCCGCCGGCGGGCCCCGACCTCCACCGACGCCGTCCCTGCAGCGCAGCACATGCAGGGCGCCCCCGCAGCAGAGCGAACTCCTGCCCCGCGTCTCCCAGGCATTGCTCACATGAGTTCCTTCCTTCGCAGCTGTTGTTGGCTTGCGCTGCGGCTGAACACCCACCGCCAGCCAAAAGAAAAACGAGAGGGGGAAAAAGAAACAAAAAATAGGCCCAGACACACGAGTCCACGCAGCCACACAGCAAGAGAAAGAGGGCCTCCACCCGCACGTTGTGGCACACGCATATACATCACACTTCAGCAGCCCGCGCAATGGGTGCAGTCAACCAACAAACACACAAACAAAACAAACCAAACCCGTGAAAGTGAAATCCGAAAGCGT